ACAGAGGGCAGAAGACGGCATCGAATTCTCCTGGAACTGAAGTTAAGGAGGTTTGTTAACCCCCATGTGGGTGCTGGGAATTGAATGTGGGTCCTCTGCAAGAGCAGCCAATGCTCTTAACCACTGAGCCATCTCTCCAGTCCCCCCCCCCCGCTTTTTTTTTTTTGGTCTTTTTGAGACAGGGTCTCCCTGTAGCCCCAGCTGGCCTAAAACTCACTATGTAGACCAGACTGGCCTCAAACTCACAGAGATCCGCCTGTCTCTGCCTCCGGAGTGCTGGGACTAAAGGTGTGTGCCACCATGCCCAGGTACAAAAATAAAATTTAAATCCCTGGGCGTGGTGGTACACGCCTTTAATCCCAGCACTCAGGAGGCAGAGGCAGATCCCCGGCCCCATTTCTTGTCTCTCTCTTTGTGTGTGTGTGTGTGTGTGTGTGTGTGTGTGTGTTTGAGGTTTTTTTTGATTGTTTCTTTGTTTGAGACAGAACCTCCTATAATCCAGGCTGGCCTCAAACTATTTAGCTGAAGGTGACCTTGAAAGTCTCATCCTCCAGAATCCACTTCCTAAGTGCTGGGATTACAAGCATGGATCACCAGGCTCCGCTTATGAAGTGTTGGAGATCCAACCCTGGGTTTCCTGCATGCAAGCAAGCACTCTTCTCACCTACATCCTTAGCCTTTGTTTTTCACCCCAAAACAGAGCCTCCCTATAGCCCCAGGTGGCTTGGCACCTAGTATGTAGACCAGGTTGGCCTCAATCTCATACTCACCTGCCTCTTCCTCCTGAGCACTGGGGTTAAAGGCTTATGCCATCATGCCTGGCTTGTTTTGTTTTTTAAGAATGTAGGAAGTGCTCATCTTTTTAAAGATTTATTTTTATTTTATGAGTGTTTTGCCTGCATGTATTTGTGTGTACCATGTGCATGCAGTGCCCATGAAGGCCAGAAGAGGGCACCAAAACTGCTGGGACTTGAGTTAGAAATGGTTGGAAGCCACTATGTAGGTGCAGGGAACAGAACCCTGGCCCTCTGCAAGAGTAAAAGTGCTTTTAACCCTTGTGCCATTTGTCCAGCTCTTATGTTTTTTGTTTGTTTTAATATTTTATTATTATTATTATTATTTTTATGAGTGTATTGCCTGCCTGTATGTAAATGCACCTGTGTTGTGCAATGCCTGAGGAGGTGAGATCACCCTGGAACTGGAGATGGTTGTTAGCCACCACATAGGTGCTAGGAATCAAACCTGGGTCCTCTGCAAGAGCAGCCAATTCTCTTAACCACTGAGCCAGTTCTCCAGCCTCCTTGGTTTGGTCCTGATTTTTTGAGACATGGTCTCACTATGTAGCACTGGCTGGCTTGAAACTAGCTATATTGACTAGGCTTGCCTCCAACTCAGAGTTTCTCCTGCCACTGCCTCCCAAGTGCTGGAATTAAAGGTGTATGCTACCATGCCCTGCTTGGTAGTCTAGGTTACCCTTGAACCTATGGCAATCCTCCTGGTTACTGGGAGTACAGGGGTGAGTCACTGTATCCGGCTCTGTTTGATTTTAAAGTCCCATTTTTCTTAAATAATGGATTTCAAAATATTTTGTTTGTTCTCATTTTTGAGACATGGTCTCCCTCTGATGTTCATCAAACTCATAATATTCTTCCCTCAGCCTCCTGAGTTCTTGAGTGTTGGGGTTACAGATGTGCGTCACCATTCCTGGCTTTTGGCTGCCCTTCTTCTTTGCTGTTTCCTATTGTTGGCCCAGGCTTCCTTTGTGCTCAAACCCATTGATCCTCTAAGATGTTGCCTTATTACTGTGTTATCTTCCTTGGTACTTTTCAGTCCTTTTGGTTTGAGAACTCCTTTGCTACTCTTTGACTGCAGTGACTTGTGACACATCTTTGGTTCCTGTCCCTGCCAATTGACTACATGTTCCTGCTCTGGTTTTGTCCCTAGTCTATCTTCAGTCACAGGCTGGAGGATGCAGCTGAATCCTTCGCTGCAGGTCAGTGAGGGCCCAAGGCTGAGGTGGGAAAAGGACACCAAATGTTCCCTACCTTCCCCATCCCCTAGCCCGGCAGTTCACCATCCTGCCATCTCCCTCTACTCTAGTGTGACCACAAAGCTGCAGTTAGGAGCTCTGGGTGGTCCTGATCATTGTAGGATGAACCCCAACTCCCATACATGTGGCATATATGGTGGACACTGTTTATACCCATTCTCACAGTCTTCATGGGCAACAAAACAAGGCTGGGGCCAGGGAATCCAATCTTAAATCAGACAGGCAAACTCTGGATAGGCAGATAGACAGATGGAGGTGGTCAGCCAGGTCGGAGCCTTTGGAAGCATCAGCTAATGTCTACAAAGAGGGCTGGGGGCAGGGAGCAGCCAAACATCTTAAGCTTAAGTGCTTTCCAGGGGCAGCCACTGGGGTGTGGACACCCAAGGGCCCACTGCCCAGAGGCTGGCCCAGTGCTTGGGTGGGGATAGAGAGCCCAGCTAAGAGCTCTGGAGAGGGGAGAGGGAGAGGTGAGGACTGAGCCAGGCCTGCATTTCTTGCTCACATGGGGAGCTGTCTGGGCTGGTTGTATCTGACCCACCCTGACCAGGTATGTGAGGGGCTGTGGGCTGGGGAGAAGTAGGCTGTGGGTGAGCCTGAGTCTTAGCTGTCTTCTGTGCCTGAGAAGATGCTTCATGAAGTGTAGTCTCACAGCCCTAGCAGAACTTTAGAACATTCCTTCTCCAGGCCTCAATTTCTTGATCTGTAAAATGGCCTGTTCCCTCTAGGATTGTTCTGGGTAAATGGCACAAGAATGCATAAGTGATTGTGGGAGATCATTGTCTGTCCTGTGGTGGTGGATAGGAATTCATGCAATTGGGAAGGTATGTGTGAATGGACTACAGGGCGGGGAGCAGGGAATCAGAGACCCATAGTGGTTTAGTATGGGACAGCTGATCAGCACCCAGAACCCTCAGCACAGTTCAACCTAGGTCAAGAGGAAGACAGCAAAGACCTTTCAGTCTCATCCACATAAATTTATGTCCCGGAAAGGCAGGGGATATGGGGAAAGGATGTTTGGTGGACAGCTATTTCCTAGGAGGGGTAAGTAGGGGTCACCTAGTCACTGGCCTCAAGGATCCAGGTTGCTGCCATGTCTCCTTTTTCTTTTTTTATTTTGGGGGGGGGGTGCTGTTTGCTTTTTGGCAGGGTCTCCCTAGTCACTCTACGTGGACCAGGCTGGCCTGGATCTTGCAGAGACCTGCCTCTGCCTCTGCCTCCTGAGGGATGGGATCAAAGGCACACGCCACTAGGCCCAGCACTTGCCATGTCTCTCTCTCTCTCTTTTTTTTTTTTTTTGGTCTTTTTGAGACAGGGTCTCCCAGTAGCCCCAGCTGTCCTGGAACTTATATGTAGACCAGGCTGGCCTTGAACTCACAGAAATCCGCCTGCCTCTGCCTCCTGAGTGCTGGGATTAAAGGCGTGCGCCACCACGCCCCGCTGCCATGTCTCTTTAAAGCCTTCTTTTTGCTTTCTGAACTCTGGGCTGGCCAGGGCAGCTTCGGGGATCTAGATAGCAAAGCGATCCTGGTGGGGAGGTGGCGCTTGGGGAGGATGGAGAGAGCAGCAGCCCTTGCTCTTAACCTCTGGGCCCTGTGTAGATCTCTTGGCCTGGGGACCTTTTCTCTAAGTGGCTCTTCATCTCAGGAATCTCCCCCCATGCAGCGCCTGCAGGTGTCCAAAAAAGCATTCCTGGAATAGAAGGCAAAGGTGCTGGTGCCACGGAAGGTGGTCAAAATGGGATGAGACAGAAGGGGGTCCCAGGGACTCTGGGGGGTCCCTCGCCGTGCAATCTCCACTCTGTGGTCCCCCAGGGTGCAAGAGCACCTAGTCACCGGCCTAAACCGCGGGGTTAGGGCCGGGGCGGGGGCAGCCCGACGGGTGGGGGCGGGGAAGGGGCGGGCGCGGGGGCGGTGCCGCAGCCGGAGCAGGGGCCAGTGTCTGAGCCAGAGTCTGAGCGTGAGACTACCGGAGCTGAGCTGGGGACACGGAGGCCGCCGCCCGCTTGCCGGCTTGCGCCTCCGCAGCTCCCGCGCGTCCGCCTGCAGGCCGTGAGCGCCGTGGCCAGTCGTGGCCAGCCGGCGGGCACCATGGCCGCGCCAGAGTCGTGGCGGCCGCGCTTGTGTCGCCTGGTGCGGGGCGAGCAGGGCTACGGCTTCCACCTGCACGGCGAGAAGGGCCGCCGCGGGCAGTTCATCCGGCGAGTGGAGCCTGGCTCCCCCGCCGAAGCAGCCGCACTGCGCGCTGGGGATCGCCTGGTTGAGGTCAACGGCGTCAACGTGGAGGGCGAAACGCATCACCAGGTGGGTGTCCGCGCCGCGCCCCGCCCCCGCCCCCCTCCTGGGGGCGCGTCCCTACGGCGCTGGCTGGGGTGCCAAGAACCACGCGACTGAATGCCACCCGCTGGGACCCGGCGTGGGTTGCACCGGGGCCTGCGTGGGCCCAGTGGCGAGGTGTAGGACGTTGCCGGTCAGCTAGCATCCTGGCAGGGAACCTCAATTCTGCACTAGGAGGGTGTGTGGGGGCATCCTGGCAAAGAGGGGCCGCCCTGTGGCTAACCTGTCCAGAGCCTTTGCTTTTTCCCCTAGTTTTGGCTTTGATGTGCCTTGGAAGGGGAGGAGGTGGCTCAAGCACCTTGGGGCTTTGCAGTACAGATGCTTTTCTATGAATGTGTAGGTGTGTGTGTGTGTGTGTGTGTGTGTGTCTGTCTGTCTGCACACGCGGGTCTCTTTCGGGCCATCCATATGTGTGCACTCTACCCCAAGTGTTCCACGACAGAATTCACGGTAAGGGCATACTTGTGTCAGGGTAAGAGCATACTGTGTCAGTCCTGGGATGTATGTCTAGAGCTGTGTGGACACATCTGAACATTTGATGTGTGCAGGCTCTGTGTGTGTGTGTGTGTGTGTGTGTGTGTGTGTGTGTGTGGTGTGCTCCTGCTGTGCCTATGCTAGTGTGCTTCCCTGTGGCCCTGTGTGTCTAGGTCTGGTGGGGTCAGCTCTAGTGGCAGCACATTCCTTGGCCCTGGGAGAGCTTCCTCCTGAGAGGCTGCCTGAGCCAGCAGGGATCACTGGCCAAACCCTGCCTCCTGCAGCTAGAGGAAGGCAGACTGTCATCTCTGTAGGTTCTACCCCTGGGGTGTCTTGTCTCTCACTCACCTCACACCTCAGGCTTTGGCTGAAGCCCAGCCTCCCTCCACCCTTTCTGCTCTGGATCCTTTGGGTCCCAGCACTAGCAAGTCCATGACTTGCCTGTTTGGCTAGTCCTGGGACCTGGAAATAGTAGATTGTTTTTTGGTTGGGCTAGGAGCTGACTGCCTAGCTCCCCTAGGAGCCCAGTCTATCCAACTGCCTGCTTTCTACCTACAGCATTCATTGGATATGATTGTGTGCTGCACAGGGTAGGGGTGGAGCCCAAGGTTTGGCCAAACAGGCAGGGGAGTGGCTGGCAGATTTGGTGTCACCCACCTTTAGTAGTCACCTGGAATCTACCTGTTTATCCCAGGCTTCTGGGGTGCTTGTCTCTAAGGACTTTTCTCATAGAGCCACCTTAGACCCTCCCCACTGCCCAGTAAGGCAGGAGGTACAGGTATGACCTCCATTTTACTGATGCTTAGAGACTGTGGGTGATTATCTTGGGTCCCATGCCAGGAAGCATCAGGGTGTTGAGATCCTTCTGCTCTGAGGGTCATGGGGAAACATGAGGAACATTGAGGGGCCAGGTGAAGATGGGCCTGGGTCAGATCTTCCTATCTGTGACAGCATTTAGTGGAGCAATGATGGGGGACTTATCTGTTCACCCTCAGGCTGTGGGGGTAGGGTTGTCACAATTTCTACCCTTTGGATGCTCATTGGGCACTTCCTTTTCTGCCTTTGGACACATACTAACACCCTGCATGCTCTCTGCACTTTCTAGGCACCCATCCAGACACACAGATGGCTGTAAAGCCATACTTGTCCCACTGGCATACTTACTTCTCTCACCTGCTGGAGCTGAATCCTGTTTACTAGATGTGTGTAGGCACCTTAGTTAGAACCCCTAGCTTTGTAGGTCCTGCAGGAATAAGTTTCCTGTCCTTGTCTGGAGGTATATTAGAGTCCTAGAGGTGGGGGTTAGAGTCATGCTGCATCTTGGGGGAAGAAATAGCTCATTAGAGCCAACAGAGACATCTCTCTTCTGCACGTTGACCAAAATGACAGACTTTGAAATAGACGCATACTCATGAGAGTACACATGTGCACACACACAATGCACAGACTGAAGATCAGCTGAGCACTGTTTCTCTCTTCCAGTGAAGCTGCACCTGTAGCTCCTTCCTTCTTTACCTGAACTGAGTGCAAGGCCACAAGAGGATCCTAAAGTACTTATATATAAGCCTGGGCCCTAGCTCCAGGGAGAAGGAGGGAGCTACTGGAACCTGGGGGTGGTGGGCGGAGCCCACAGGACTCTCAGTCCAGCTGCCCACCCCTGGCAGACCTGCCCCGCCTGCTGTCTGTGAGCTTGGACCAGCCGGGAGTGGTGTCCTCGTCCATGTGCTACTCAGGGTGTTGACTGCTGACCCACTCCTGCTACCATCCTAGGTGGTACAGAGGATCAAGGCTGTGGAGGGGCAGACTCGGCTGTTGGTGGTGGACAAGGAGACAGATGAGGAGCTCCGTCGGCGACAGCTGACCTGCACTGAGGAGATGGCCCATCGAGGGCTTCCACCAGCCCACAGCCCCTGGGAGCCAAAGTCTGACTGGGCACGCTCCAGCAGCCTTGGTTCTGATACTGGCCAGAAGGTATGGTGGACTGTACCATTTCTGCCTCTTTTTTCCTGGGGGGGAGTGTGGGGGGGTGAGACAGGGTCTTACTATGTAGTCCTGGGTGGAACTTGCTGTGTAGACCAGGCTAGCCTCAAACTCACAGAGATCCACCTATCTCTGCCTCCCAGTGTAGGGATTAAAGGTGTATACCACCATACCTGGCCTACACCCCATCTCTGTCTCTTAATGATATAATCTTCGCCTTTGGTCACCTCCACAAGCCTCCATTTCTTCTTATGGCCCTTTCCCTACTGCAGTAGCTACTGTCTGTGCTCCTTTTGACCACTTTGTAGGCCATTTGTGGCTATTTTTTCTGCTCTTAGTCCCTCTGTTTCTGGGCCCAGTGGCTAAGGATCCCTGGGAGGAGCTGCTGGGACATTTGAGGACTGAGTACCTGTGTTGAATGTCTGTTGTTCTGTCTCTGTGTCTAACTAACTCATGCATATCTAAGGCATCTACATACTGTGAAGGCCTGGGGGGTATTGGCCTCCTTTGTGGGAAGTTAGTGCTGAAGTTGTGGGAAAATGAGAAAGTACAGAGATGGGGTCCAACATGGGTGGGAAATGGGAACAGGAGCAAGGGCTAGCACCCAGGTGAGCTGCATGTAGGCCCCTCCTGTGCTGGATTCTGCTGGGGCCTCACAAGAAACTTCTAGGGTGGGCCCTTCCCTTGACTCCTCTTCTGTAGGGAGCCTTACTTGCTGTTCTTCCCTGCCCGCTGCTGGGAAGCACCTCCCATTGTCTCTACCTCCTTCCATGATTGGAGACCCAGAAGGAATGGGTCTGTTCTTCAATCTAGGTAGCCACCTGGAGCTGTCCTGGAACTCACTATGTAGACCAGGCTGGCCTTGAACTCACAGAGAGTATTTGCCTCACGAGTACTGGGATTAAAGGCATGTGCCACCACGCCCAGCTTATATATTTATTTTTAAGTCCTAGTAAAGGATTTGAGCCTAGGGGTTTCCCACCGCTTACTTTGAGAACCACTGGCATAGAATTGGTGGAGTTGTTAGGTTTCTGGGTGTGTATCAGATCTTGACATTTGCCTTTGACCTCACCCAAGTGTCTCTCACTTGAGCTTGTTGGGCCTGTGAGCTGATCCCTGTGGGGCCTGTCTTGGAGTTGGGTGATGGCATTCCTAGTAGGGGACCTTCCCAAAGATTGACACCTGGAACCTGTTGGCTGCTTTTTCTTCTCAGGGACTAGAGGGCAGGTGCCAGGCCCTGGAGTCTAGACTCTTGCCCTAGGGCTGCTTAGGGGAATTTTTCAAGTAGATGAGTCCCAGGCTCCTTAGGCCCTGGCTAAGGACTGGAGCCTCCCTCTTTCCCAAGTACCCTCCCTCCTCCCCAGGAGGAAGCCCCCCCCGCCCCCATTTGTCCATTCATTTAGATACAAACAGACCAATTCACCTTCCTGTGGAAAAATCTGCCATGAGGCCTTATCTGGAGGTGGGGTGGCCTAGGCCCCTTGGCCTTGGGTGGGACCTTCCACCTCACTGCTATTTCAGGCTTGGAGGGCTGCAGGAAGCTCTTGGAGGGGGGCTTCCTCTAAACGTATTTTTAGAGGAACAAAGGGGGTGCATTGGACATGTCCCTCTGTAGATGGGGCTAACCTGGGGACAGAGACTCTAGGAGGTCAGGGGAGCCTAAGGGATAGGGTCTTCCCTGGAAGAAAGAAGGGAACCTCATATAACCTCCACAAAACAGACTTAGAGACAGCCTGCCTCAGGTTGGGTGAGAGCCTGAGAGTAGTTTTTACTCTGAGTGGCTAGGTTCTACTAGGGGTGCTGGTAGCTGGACAGACTTGGGAGGGTTGTGTGTCTCTGCTCTGCTTCAGGGTAGGGATGTCTATCAGGTACCCAATGGGAGGTGAGGGCCTTCCTGTCCTCCCTGAACTTGTGTCCTCTGTTCCAGCCTGCAGGGTAGGGGAGGTAGGAGGATAGGGGAGGACACTGATATGGTCTGGCCCTCCCTTTGTAACTGAGAAGGCCTAGGCAGTGGTGACTCAGTCCCAGGCTACATCAGGCTGGGGGCGGCAGCAGCTGCAGTGAGTCCATTCTAGAAATGATGACAGGGACAGCCCCCAAACACAGACCTAACAGCTAGCAGTGCCAGGGCCAGGGAGGTGGTGATAGATCCTGCCTATCCACCCAGCCTCTTCTACTATGCCCTTACCTCCTGGAGGGCTTTGGGGACTGAGACTGAATGACAACAGGTGAAGCTCTGCAGGTGGTAGCTTCATAGCACAGGACCATGTAGGACAAAGTGACCACAGAAAAGCTTCTGAGGCTCTCCTTCCTCTCCCCCTGTGGATTATCTTCTGTTCTAGAGCTGGGGTCCCCTCCCTTGCCTCCCTGTCTCCACTGCCCTGGGTCCTGGAGCAGGGCAGGGCCTGGCCTCCCAGCAGCTTCCTTCCTTCCTTTCTTCCTTTCTTGGGACGGAAACCTAGCTGGGTGGGGGGCCCCCGGACTGGAGCCTCAACTAGGGAGGGGGCTCAGTCACCACCCTGCTCCCCAAAGTGACTCAGGCCCCAAGTCCCCACCCATCCCCAGGGAACCTGGTCACAGTGGGAGGTAGATAAGTGGGGTGGCAACCTGGGTTGGCCAGAGAGCTTGGGCTACTCTGGGCTGGCCATCTACTGCCTGTTACTTCTGTTCTGCTTCTCATGGCCCGCTCCGGGAGTGCCACGCTGCCTACCTCAGGCCCAGGATTTCCTCCACAAAGCCCTCAAAGGGGGTTTGCTCAGGTCAGGTTGGGGCAGAGCTAGGCTGTGAGGACCCCAGCCTTAGCTCAGCCTCTGGGGAGGGACAGGGAACTTGGGGACCTTTATGCATGCAGGATGGACCCCATGCAACAATGGGGACCTTTCTCAGCTGGAACTGGTGAGTCATTCCCTGGGGGGGGGGCACAGCCTGGCTCCCAGGGCACCTCTATGTCAGCCTCTTTGTCTGGCCATGGGCTTGGTGTGTGTGTGTGTGTGTGAGAGAGAGAGAGAGAGAGAGAGAGAGAGAGAGAGAGAGAGAGAGAGAGAGAGAAAGAAAAAAATACACTGT